GTGTGGACTTAGAGGAACTACAGACTCCTAATGTTGCTCATGAACATTTATATTCTAGATCAGTAAAGTAAAAAGAAGAATTAACGTCTAGATACTGCAAACTTTTTCTAGGTATGGGATGAAAAACCCTCCACTTCACCACTTTTCAACCTTTTCCACATTAAAACTGTTTTTAAAACTCAGCTAGAGGTGATCAGTGTTGACAAAATTTCTAACAATACTGCTCACATTTCTCCCCACACATTCTGGTGTTCACCTAAATAAGCAGAGACTGTGAGAAAAAAACACGGAGATTCTTGCTGTTGCTGCTGTTTAGGATTAGCACTTTTTAGGAAGTGAACTTCTCCTAAGGCATTTAGTTACCAATACCACTTTGAGTGCTTAGGTTTTCTTTTAATCATATTAGAATGTTTAGTAAAAACAACGCATGAAAAATATTGTTTAAAAATAAGTGCATTCTTTGGACATGTTCTTTTAATCCCTTCGCAAGAAGGCTGAAAGATCTAACTGATCACGCTTAGCAGGAAATTAACTCAACTGTCTGATGACATAGATGTCCAAGAGTCTTAGGAAAAAAAACACCCAAATGTTTTTGCACAGAATCAATGGAAACAACATCTGGTTTAATTCTTTTTTTCCCTTCTGAAAGTAAAAAGTTTAATCACGGTAATGACTATTCACTGTTTTTCACAGAAACAACAGTCATATGGTTTATTTATTTGATACATTAGAACATTTAGAACACCTTAAAAAATTACCTTCCAAAAAGCCTTGCCTGTTAGAGACCTGACTTAGAAAAAAAACACTGAAGCCTTCAGCATTAGTCTTTTTGAAGCATAGTTCTAGATCACTTAACATTTTCACTCTACATCATTCTAACACTTCGCTCAGGTGAAAAACACTTACCTCTGCATATTTTGCCATTGAACTGGCTTCAACTGCATAGACTTTTCTAGCTCCAGCCTGCACTGCAAAAAATGAAAGGATTCCTGATCCGCAGCCAACATCTAGCACCACCTTGAAAACAAAAGACAGACCAAAAGAACCAAAATGTCAAAAAGTCACTTCTTGACACCTCTTTTAAGTAAGCGAATTTTCACAGCTGTACCCTGCATTTAGTAAGCCTGGCATTATGCAAAAATATTACTAATTTCACTTGAAAAAGTGAAAAGGCTTGTTAATGAAGAGCTTTAAGGCTCTTTATTTTAGCAGCAACAGCATAATTTTAAAAGGCTGTGGATAGTTTTCATGTGTACATACATGGTTATGGTTTGGAGGAAATGGATTTTTGTGACTAAGTTTCTTTAGGAGAAAAATCTGAAAAACAAGCATAGTCTGAATACACTGGGGAGGTAAAGAAGACATGACTAATAATTCTTTGAAGGACTACAGACTCGTGTCTTTTTGAATGAAAAATCACTCTATGGTGTGGAAGTACCTTGGATAAAACTACAGTATGTATCTTTGTTCAAATATTGGTTCTGCTGCCTGATGTTAGTATCAGACCTTTAATTGCGCTATTTGATGTGGTGTCTCTCAAAAAGACCCTCAGTTAAATATAAATCCCAAAGCCTCATTTTCTCCATCAGTCAGGTGGCTCACTTGTTGCAAGCCAAAACGTTGACTGAAATCTTTCAAAGGGTCAAAATTTTTGTTTCAATGCATAGTGTAATGCAAAGCCAGCGACTACTGCAACAGTCCAGACAAGCCTCTAGTTCCTGGCTTCCTCCTGTTGTACAGGTCACTCAACACTGCTGCAGAGGCATAAGTACACAGAAAAGAGGCTAACTGCTGGTGAAATGCTTAAGATGATGTGATTGATGTGATCATTGATGCAAAGTCCACTTTTATACTGCCCCACAGAACTACGCTAATACCAGTACCTTGCTTCTGCAAAATTTTAATACCAGCTTCAAGAAAAATCCCACAGAACAGCTCACCATTCAGGTTCCTCCTATGGGTTTGTGTTTGATTGAAAACAAAGAGTGTCAGTTTTCATGTCCCTGTGGCTGAAATTCTCATTAAATTTTGATCCAAGATATGAAATTTACAAGCCTGTTAGGTGATTTAAGCCACCTGGAACAGGAACCTCCTAAGATTTCAAAGCACTTCAACCATGAAACTGAGCTACAACCCTGATCCAATCTCAAGAGTCAGAAGCAGAGAAGTATAAATACAATACAGATTCAGAGTAACACTGCGGCTCAGTATACCACCAGCTACCCCTATTCTTTATTGCTCCTCTGCCCCAACTTCCCATATAATGTACATTGGTTATCAGCCTTTAAAAACACCAAGAGAAAATTTTGTGTATTCAGACAGAATAGTATTGACTGAGAAATAATCTCCTAGAATGAAAGGCACATTCAAATTCCCAAAAGTTACTTCACAGGGCATTTAGGTTATGTATTAAAGAATGCAGTCTAACACATATGGCCTGAATCTGTTGTAGATAATATGAATCCATATTACAGAATTACTCCACTGCAAAATAAATTGACACTGCTTCTGATATTCCACGTAGTCTCAAGTTTGGTGTAGAAGCCAGAACCTTGCCTTTGATAATTTTCTTTCCCAGTGAAAGACTTTATTAAGCTGATTTTTTATATCACAGATGACAGGCTGTTACAGATCCAGTTTTGCTTCTGTGCTTTGGCAGGTGTTAGCGTATGCTCCTGTGCGCAGAGGAACCAGCTCTTCAGAACAACCAGTGACAGTATCTGTTACATAAGTAGGGAGGGAGACAATGACAAGTCAAAGCCAATTTCATTGAACCATAGCTCTGACAGAAGGTTTAGTAGGCTATTTCTCAGTACTCAATGGGAACTACAAATACAACAGTGCTTTCTCTCTGCAAATGTGGAAAGCACAAGGAAGAGTCAACTGCTCAAGTTCAACACAAAAAATCCAATGGAGAAGTATGCCTTTTTGCACCAGACCTAATTCTGATGCCATTTCTTACACTATGCCTATGTCTACATCAGCAGGTGGTACAGCTGTACTGGAACATTTTTTTTCTGGATGATTTACTAAGACTACTCTAGTCTGAGTTTCTTCTAGCTTAGTCCAGTTCAATTTTATCCAAAATTAATCCAGTTTGCTTACTCTGAGATCACTCTACAATGTGAACTGAAGGACCCTGAGTGACTATGATAGAAATTCACTTCAGAAGCTCACTCCTGACCCGCCTCGAGTCCTGCACTTCGATCACAACCACCCCATGCAACGCTACAGGC